GGAACCACCTCGGTTCCCACTGCAACTGCTGGACTGGCGGCAGGCGAGCAGAGCGCAGTACCCTGGGAGCCGGGCCCACAGCAGGGGGCCATGGGCAGTGCCAGCCAGGCAGGCTATAGCCCACACTCACTGGCCAGGTGACCCCAGCCCCGGGGCCCTGCTTCTGCCATCCTGGCTTCATGCCAGAGGTGGCCCCGGCTGCCATTCGGCCAGCTCTGGGGGTGCAGCCTGGGCTGGGAGTGCAGCTGGGGTGCCAGTGAGGTACTGGCTAGGCCCTCGGGCCTCAGGGCAAACAAGCTGGGGGCAGCCAAGCCCTCCATGGCAGCCCCAGCAGGGAAGGCGAGTGGGACAGGGGCTTTGCGGCCCAGGACCCAGAAAGGCCGTATGAGGCGGGCTGTTCGCATCTCCAGCCTGGTGGCCCAGGAGGTAGGTGACTCCCAGTCCCTTCCCCTCCTTTCCAGGGCTGGGGCACTGAGGTGGAAGATGTGGCCCAGAGGGCGCTGGCTCCAGGCTGGGGAGATCCATAAGCAGGGTGGTTTAGGGAGCCTTGGGGTCTGCCACCCGACTCACTGTCTTCCCAGCCTGCGGGACATGGGTTCCTAGTATTTTCCTTTCTGGGCGGCCTCTCCCCCTTGCTCCTGTGGCTCGAAATGCAAAGGGAGGAGAGACACAACAGGAATCAGATGGATGCCCAGAGAGGATGGTGGGGGGATGCAGGGAGGCAAAGAACCACTGGGCAGGGTCACCAAGAGGTTGGTGGGCAGCAGCCAGGCCTGGCATGGAGGCGCTAGGCTCCCTCCATCTGTGCTGGGGGCGGACCCTTTGGTAGGCAGAGGAGGCTTGGCTTGCATTCAGGGAGTCTGAGGAAGTGTGGATCAGAGGGCACATGGGTGGTGAGAGCACAACAGGCCCTAGGTTGTGATGAACTCCTCTCCTCACCCTCAGAGCCACCTCTCTGCCCCAAGTGGCTCTTCTGTCCTTTCTCAGAGCCTAGAAGGGGGCCCTGCCACCAGCACCATGCCACGCCTGAGCCCCCTGTGCCTGGGCTCATTGGCTCCTTCCAGCTGGGGCACAGGTACACATAGGATTCTTCTCACTCACAGGACAGGGCCCAGGGTTGGATTAGTGTTATATAGGCCCATGCATCAAGGGGGTTCCATACCTGGCCCAAGGCTGACCCCTGGGAAGATGAGGCTGGAGGAACCAGACTTTGCATTCCAGTCACAGCCTACATATGTCTGTGTATTTGCAGCAGGGCTACAAATTTTGGGGGCAGGATTGCTTCTGTCCTGGGTGCTCCAGCAAAGTCCCTAGGGCCTGACACCATAGGCACAGGGAGGAGTCCTATTCCAGGGCAACTACCATCTTCTGTCACTTGTCTGTGGGGTTCTGGCCAGTTCCTTTTCCAATTCCCACTTGACCCCTGAAAGACCACCATACCATGCACATTGGCTCTCTGATTTAGGGAAAGGCCACTTGGGCTGGAGGCCAGGCTGGTGGCTTCCCATAGGCTCCTTGCCTATCCCAGGCCTAAGCTGCTTCTCTCCTCTTCTCCAGGGGCTCTGAGTCCCTCCTATGGTGGCCAGACTCCTAACTATGACTCATCTTAGCTCCTAGTTATTTCCCCTAAGGAGATGCTTTCCAAACAGCCCTACCTGTGCAGGGTTCCAGGGAACGCTGCCTGAGTATGAATGGACTCACTGGCATCATCCGGTTCAGAGGCCCCACACTGCCTGCTCCTGGGATTCAGTGCTTCTGGGGGCTGGAGAAGGCCTTTGGTCCAGCTGCCCAAGGGGTACAGGTCCTGAGGTGGGGGGCTTCTGTCCCACAGAAGCTTCTGGGACAGTGTGGAGAGCTGGCCTAGTACTTCCTGGTTTGGCTTTAGAGAAAGTGTGGTATGGCTATTGTCCCCTGGTCTGGGAGGCTGTGCTGCTGCCCCTAGGCAATCCTGTGCCCGTCCTGCTATAGACTCCTCTGTGCTGGGCTGTGTCCTCTGTGTCCCTTTAAAAGTGTGGGAGGCTGCCCTGGGCAGAGAGGGGGCTGGAAGAGCAGGTGGGAATGTCTTGGTCTATCTCCCCCAAAGGACGGCCCTGAGTCTGGGTGGCTGGTATCCTGGGTCGGTGACATGCAGGGCCTGGTAGGGAACTTCAGTGACCATTTTTTGTGTTAGGACTCTGGCCATTGCCCAGGCTGAGAGCTGTGGTCCTGGACATCTTTCTGGACTGACACTAGGGGTGTGTGTGTGTGTGTGTGTGTGTGTGTGTGTGTGTGTGTGTGAAAGATTGCATAGTGCCAGTTATAGTCCAAGGGTTTGGTCTGCGTTGCTTGTGGGTAGTGGTATCAGGGTTTATTGTGGGGTACTGATTTTGAGTATCTGGGAGCTCTCAGAACCGTGCGGATCCAGCAGCTGGGAGGGCCTCATGCTGTGTGGCATTCTGGGAACTCTAGTATCCAGCTCTGGGGGTGGTTAGCGGCTGTGGCTGCTTGGCTGAGGGGTGAGCCATTCTGATGGAAACCTCTTGGCTTCCCCTTACTCTTCTTGGCCCTGTCCTTGAGGTCCTATGCCTTCCCCATCCTTTACCTGTATCTTCTTCACCCACCTAGGTCCTGTCCCTGGGTGCTGATGTGCTCCCTGAGTACAAGCTGCAAGCCCCGCGCATCCACCGCTGGACCATCCTGCACTACAGCCCCTTCAAGGCCGTGTGGGACTGGCTCATCCTGCTGCTGGTCATCTACACAGCTGTCTTCACGCCCTACTCAGCCGCCTTCCTGCTGAAGGAGACTGAAGAGGGCTCCCAGGCCCCCGACTGTGGCTATGCCTGCCAGCCGCTGGCTGTGGTGGACCTCATTGTGGACATCATGTTCATCGTGGACATCCTGATCAACTTCCGCACCACCTATGTCAATGCCAACGAGGAGGTGGTCAGCCACCCTGGCCGCATTGCTGTCCACTACTTCAAGGGCTGGTTTCTCATTGACATGGTGGCTGCCATCCCCTTTGATTTACTCATCTTTGGCTCCGGCTCTGAGGAGGTGGGATTGGTAGGGAGGCAGAGAGAGGGAGGAAGGGAAAGAGAGGCCAGGACGGTGTGGCGGGGAGAGGGAGCTTGTGGGAGGTAGTGGTGTGAAGGAGACAGAAAGTGAGCTCCACAGGTACCGAAATAAACCTGTGCTTGATCCTTCTTTCTATGAGCTACCCACAGTTTTAGGGAGTCAGGGGCTCCTTTTCTAATTTTTAAAAAATTGAGTTTATTGGTACATTTTAGGTATACAGTACAGTTACATTCATCATTGGGATCTTGTACCTTTACATGACAGGTCTTGGTTCTCATTTTTTCCCCTTGTCCCTGCTCTCTCTTTACCCCCTCCTTTTCTAATTTGTGTACTGAAAGGGATCACTTTTCTAATTTACACACAAGTGCCCCAGACACTAATCAGAGGCATATTAGGGTGACTGTTGTGCCTTTTGGGACCCTTATTTTTGTTTTTTTTTTATTGAGTTTATTGGTACTTTTTAAGTTTACAGTACAGTTACATTCATCATTGGGATCTTGTACCTTTACATGACAGATCTTGGTTCTCATTTTCCCCCCATACCCCTGCCTTTCCCTATTTACAAAAACTTTATTTCTATTTTTTTTCTTTTCCCTTATTTCCTTTCCCCTACCCTTGCCACTTCCTTTACACCTTTAGCCCTTTTCTTCCCATTTCACATTGTCAGTTATACCATTTGGATCTTATTTACACTTGTAGTTTTTCTCATTTTTATTTTTGAGACAGGGTCCACTATATAGTTCAGGCTGGCCTTGGATTCATTATGTAGCCCAGGCTCGAACTCGAAGCTATCCTCTTGCTTCAGCCTGAGTGCTGGGATGACAGGCGTGCGCCATCAGCCTAGCTGGGTCCCCTTTTCCTTGTTCTCACTATGGGGCTGTGACCATACTGTTTTAAAGCTGGCACAGAGATTAATGTGACATCTTTGCTGGGGGCAGCAAAGGTTCTTCACACAAGGTGGCTTCAATTAATAGGAAGATGTCCCAGGAGGAAGTCCTGGGGAGCTTCCCTCTAGTATTCTCTCCAAGGCTTCAGTGTCTCCTGCACCTCATTTGCCTGCACCCTGACTGTGCTCTCTTTTGGCCTTCAGCTCATTGGGCTGCTGAAAACCGCGCGGCTGCTGCGGCTGGTGCGCGTGGCTCGGAAGCTGGACCGCTACTCAGAGTATGGGGCGGCGGTGCTGTTCCTGCTCATGTGCACCTTTGCGCTCATTGCACACTGGCTGGCTTGCATCTGGTACGCTATCGGCAATATGGAGCAGCCAGACATGAACTCGCGCATCGGCTGGCTGCACAACTTGGGTGACCAGATCGGCAAGCCCTACAATAGCAGCGGCTTGGGTGGGCCATCCATCAAGGACAAGTACGTCACAGCGCTCTACTTCACCTTCAGCAGCCTGACCAGCGTGGGCTTTGGCAACGTCTCGCCCAATACCAACTCAGAGAAGATCTTCTCCATCTGCGTCATGCTCATTGGCTGTGAGTGCACCCCGGGGGTGGGCTGGGGTGGCAGGGAAGAGCCTGGGTGGAGCAGAGAGCCAAGGCTAGAGGGCCCCACCACTTCTGCTCCCCCACATAGAGACTCCAGGGCCCACCAGCATGACACAGTTTGGAGGCTGGGATGCTAGAGCAGGAGAACGCTGCAGGCTGGCGTGTTTGAGTGTGTGTATGTTTATAGCCACTCTCAGTCTGAGACGTGACCAGGCTGCGGGTCCCCATGGGCGGCGGGGCCCCTGTGAATACTGATGGCCCCACTCACCCACGCCCCCCAGCCCTCATGTATGCCAGCATCTTCGGCAATGTGTCGGCCATCATCCAGCGGCTGTACTCGGGCACGGCCCGCTACCACACGCAGATGCTCCGTGTGCGGGAGTTCATCCGCTTCCACCAGATCCCCAACCCACTGCGCCAGCGCCTGGAGGAGTACTTCCAGCATGCCTGGTCCTACACCAACGGCATTGACATGAATGCGGTGAGGCATCGGCAGGGAGGGTCAGATGCTGTGGTTAGTGCTAAGAAGGACCCTGGGGAGCATGTGCCTCCTTTTCCCTACCAGCAAACTGAAGCCTAGGGGCCTTTTTCTGGGAGAGCTCTCCTTTTGGAGCAGGCACTGTACCAGGCCCTTCACATAGGTGGCGGTATTAAATCTTACTACAGCTGAAAGCAGGAATTGATCCTGCATTTACCCTGAGAACATGGAGGTCTAGAGGGTGCCTGGCCAGAGGTGGTACAGCTGGATTGGGAACCCAGGTGCTTCCCAAGATACTCTGGGAGGATTCTGGATCTGGGGCCTAGAGGAGGAGGTTTCCCTGAGATGGAGGTGTGGGCAATGCTGGGGTGCGGGTAGTATCCCAGGTGAGGGTGTCCTGAGCCATCCCACCTTCCTGCAGGTGCTGAAGGGCTTCCCTGAGTGCCTGCAGGCTGACATCTGCCTGCACCTGAACCGCTCACTGCTGCAGCACTGCAAGCCTTTTCGTGGGGCCACCAAGGGCTGCCTGCGAGCCCTGGCCATGAAATTCAAGACCACGCATGCTCCGCCAGGGGACACACTGGTGCATGCAGGGGACCTGCTCACCGCCCTCTACTTCATCTCCCGTGGCTCCATTGAGATTCTGCGGGGCGATGTTGTCGTGGCCATATTGGGTATGGGGTGTAGGTGGATAGAGAGTGGGAAATGACTGTCAAAGCCTAGAGAGGCCTCAGACCTCTGATTATGAGGCTGTGAACCTGGGGCTGCAGACAAGTCTTGTGTTCCTTTAACTCACCTGAGTTTAGGTCTGCCAGAGGGGGCAGTAGAGAGAAGCTCCCCCACAAGGTATGGGCTATAGAACTCTGGGGGTCCCATGTCCCCCTGAATTTCAGGGAGCTTTATGATCTCCTCACAGGCAGACACTTCTTGCTTCCTTAAAGTAGGGCCAAATGTAGATGCTCCAAGTGAGCAGTGGAGAGTCAGGTGTGAACCTGGAGGTTGTGCATAGGTTTTGCTAGGGCCAGATGGTTTCCTGCAGCTTCATGTGATATAACCATGCCAGAACCTTCGCTATGTCCAGAGGAAGGGAGTCCCACCCTGTCCCCTCACAGCTCTTCCGTTCTGCCCTGGCCCGCCTGTGCATGTGTTTTTGCACACTGGGGGTTTCTTGCCCTTGCCTGTCTTTTACTTCACCCTGCATGCCTTAGGGACAGAGGCATCAAATGATTTTGACCGTGGCTCACAGTAGAACATTCTAGGTTTTTAAAAAGTATTTTTGGGCTGGGGATTTAGCTCAGCGGTTTGGTGGCCTGCCTTGCAAGCTCAAGGACCCGAGTTCAATCCCCGGTACC